TAATGTGCTAGCGCAGCCTTCGGCTTCCTGAAGAAAATGGTGTTCAAGGACAACAAACATCAAATCCGACACCAAGCTCATGGTATACAGAGCTCTGGTGGTTCCTGCCCTCTTATGTGGCTCTAAGACATGGACTAAGCAGACACCTCAAGGCACTGGAGCAGTACCACCAATGCTGCCGCACAAGATCCTGCAAATCCACTGGGAAGGAAGATACATCAATACCATCATTGTCAACTAGGGCAATATCCCCAGTATTGAGGCACTGACCACCCTTGATCAACTGCAATGGGCTGGGCACATCGTCTGTGTGACCAACACGAGACTCCCCAAGCAGGTGCTCCACTCTCAGCTCCAAAACAGCAGGCAAGCCCCAAGTGGACAGAGGAAGCGCTTCAGGAAAATCCTCATGGCCTCCCTTGTGAAATGCGGCATTCTCACCAACACTGGGAATGACTGGCCCAAGACAGAGTGGCTGGTGCAAAGTGGAGGAGGAGCATTCGGAAAGGCATCGAATACCTCGAGACTTGCCGTCGGGAAAAAATGGAAGCCAGGTGAAAACAGCATAAAGAGCACACTGCCACACCAATGTCCATGCCCATCCACCCCTTCCCACGACAACCTTCTGGACCAAGTGTGGCAGAGTCTGCAGAAGCTGCATTCGTTTGTACAGCCACCTACACATTCACCCAGAGAGTGGAAAAGAGGGACCGCCAATGATGATGATGATGTAAAGGATTGTATAAGTATATCCGCACTATTGTGGACATTTTTAGCAAATGAATAGAGGCGTTCCTCACTTGAACATACACCACTAAAGTTGCAGCAGGCATCTTAATTCAGTACATTTTCCAAGATGAGGTCTTCCTTGCAATATACGTTCAGACCAGGAAACCCATTTCACATCCTAGGCCATGCAGGTGGTGAAGAATAAATGTGGTGTCAGCCAAAGGTTCCACATTGTCTACCATCCTCTATCCAGCAGGACTGTACAGAGGTTGAATCTCAGCTTCAAAGGGATTCAGTGAAAGATCACCCAGCAAAACAACTTGACCTGGCACACAGTTTTACCCTTTGTCCTTATAAGGAACACACCTTCCAGTTCAACAGGATTCACCCCATTATAGCAAAAGAGGTCACTTCTCAAAGATGTGATCCAGTCTGAAGGATATACCAATCAACAAATCAAATTATTCCTTAAACAACATGTAAATTTGTATCTTGGAACAGAACCTTAAAGAAGACATCAATACTGCAAGTAAATAAGCTTCTTTACATGAAAAACACTATGCACTACTTCATTTCTTCCTAGGGGACCCAACAATGGTATCCAATGCTAATAATGGAGCAGAAGATACATAACTACCTTATAATTCTCAAACATGTCCACAGTTACATCACTACAAGTTTCTTCAGTCAGACTGATTAATCTCTGATCTAACAGAAGGAAGCAAAGTCAACCAAGGTAGCCAACTATACTCAACTGTGTCCATGCCTTGTCACCTGACCTACTTTTAGAAACAAAAGAGTCAAGTTGAAGGCTTGATGAGGGGCGAAAGAAATAAGGAAAATATATATAATAAAGTTACACATATATATACTTTTTTATATTGTATAAATATACATTAAATAAGAAAAATCTGAGTAACTTATTTAAGTATATGTATAACTGTCAATCAATGTTAATGACAGAGGCAAAAACCCTAGGGAAGGAGTGGTATATAAGGGCTTGAGGACCCTGTACCAAGCTTGCAATGATGTCACAGAGCTGCTCTTTATTAGGCATAGTGTGGGTGAAAGTAGTTTGATCACAACAGAAGAAGTATAAGTTCGAAGAAAAGAACTGGAATAAATAGAAGGCTCACGTGAGCATATGCACATGAACTCATAAAGAAGATAAGTTAGTCCTTACTAAATGTAACGATAATTCAGAGCCTGGTACATCCCTCAGTAATACTAAATACTACATCCATGGTAATATATAATAAATAATGTTACTTGGAAGTTTAAGCCTGAAAACAGTTCTTGATTTTGCATGCTGTATCTGAATGCATGTAGTGATTGTAATAAGTTAGATAAGTTTGTGGGACAATTAGAAATAAATAATTATGGCTTCACAGCTATTATGGAGATGTAATTGTAGGATAACCAGGACTGGGAACTCAATATTCAGGGGTATTCAATGTTCTGGAAAAATAGACAAAGGTAATAGGCAGTGGGGTAGCATTGTTAGTAAAAGGAGATATCAGTGCAGTGGAGAATATAATATTGGTGCAATAGATGGTGATGTGAAACCTGTTTGGGTCGATATAAGGAATGGCTGGGAAAGAAATCACAGGTGGGAATTATTTGTGGGCCTGGAAGAGCTGCCTTGCAGTCAGACTAAGCATAAATTGGAATATCACTGAAGCAGTTAATTTAATTTAATCTAAGAAAGTGTGACATCATGCAATTTAGCAGAAAGAATCAAAATGCTGGCTGTTATCTAAATGAGAGACACTCCAAAAGAGTACAGCACAGAAGAATCTGGGTTTTTTGTGCAAGGAACAGAAAAAGTTAGCATGCAGGTGCAGCAAGTAACTACGTAAGCAAATGGAATTGTTAGTTTTTAGTTATTCACTCAGTGGATGTGAGCATCACTGGCTGGGCCAGTATTTATTGCCCATTTCTAGTTGGCCTGAGAAAAAATGTTTTAATGCCAGGATGCCATGTTACAAATGTACTGGGTGTTGGTTAGGCCACACCTGAAGCACTGTGTACCATTTTCATCCCCATATAATAGTGGGGATATACTGGCATTGAAGGAGTTCAAAAGAAATCCACTAGGTTGATCGTTGACTGTGACCAGCCAAAGCAGACAACTACTGCCAAGCCCAGAACTGTACACAGACTGCACCCAAGACTGACAGTAGCAGGATCCTCTGACTGACATACAAAGGGACTTGGGGGTACTTGTGCACAAAACACAGAAAGCCAGCACAGATATAGCAGGTAATCAGGAAGGTTAATGGAATGCTAGCCCTTATTTCAAGGGGATTGGAGTATAAGAGTATAAAAATCTTACTGCAATTGTACAAGGTACTAGTGAGACCACAACTGGAGTTCTGTGAGCAGTTTTCGCCCTCTTATTTAAAGATAGTCAGGGTTTTTTTTCCAGTCTAGAAATGTCAAATACTGGAGAGCATAGATTTAAGGTGAGAGGGGAAAAGTTTAAAGGAGCCATGTGAGGAATATTTTTTACATAGATGGTGATCGGTATCTGGAACATGCTGCCAGGCAGAAGCAGATACAATAGCAGCATTTAAGAGGCGTTCAGACAGGCCATGAACAGGCAGGGAATAGATGGATACAGACTATGTGCAAGCAGATGGGATTATTTCAGAATGGCATCATGGTCAGCACAGACATGATGGGCCAAAGGGCCTGTTCCTGTACTGTACTGTTCTACATTCTTTGCTCATTGGAGGCAGTTCAGAGAAGGTTCACTAGGATAATCTTTGGTATGCATTGTCTTACAAGCAAAGATTAAACAGGTTGAAATTCTATTCATTGGAATTTAGAAGAATGAGAGGTGACCTCATTGAAACATACAAGATTCTTAAGGGGCTTGACAGGGTATAAACTGAGAGTATGTTTCCCCTCATGGGAGAGTCTGGGATTGGAGGACATAGTCTCAGAATAAAGGAGTACCAAATTAAGAGTGAGGTGTGGAGGAATTTCTTTTATCAGAAGGTTGAGAGCCTTTGGAATTCTTTGCCATGGACAGTTGTGGGGTAGAGTCCTTGTGTATATTTAAGGCTGAGATAAGTAGATTCTGGATCAGTAGGGACATCAAGAGTTACAGACAAAATGCAGGAAACAGGGTATGAGGAATGTCAGATCAGCCTTGATCCAATCAAATCGTGGTGTAGAATCAATGACCTACTCCTGTTCCTATTTCTTTTCATCGAAGCCAATGATCTTTGTTGATTGGTAGAGGAAATCAAAACTCATTGATATGTTTCCAGCTGATATTATTATTGGACAAGGTACATCCCAGAATGAAATCTACCTTGATGGATCATATCTTAAACATTTAACATGGTGGTCTTTTACATAAACATAAGCACACCAAGTTACAGATTTGGCCTTATAAATAAAATAAAAATTTATTAAATAAAATTAAGAAAAAACAAAATTAAGCTATCCACATACAACATAGTTTAAAAGATTTAAAAAAACTTGGAAAAAAAATCACATTTACTCCCTAACCCCGGTACTTTAGAGTTAATTAAAATCCAGAGAAATGTTCTTTTCATATGAAATTTGTGGGATAACAACTGTATTTTCCTCTGTTCTGCTGTTGTCAGCTATGAAGCTTTTTTTTTTAACTCATACAACTGAAGTCTTGGACCTTCTCAACTTTAAACAACATATGCAGATTTCTAACCAAACAGTCCTGGTTTGGATTTAATTATAAACTAAACCCTTACATAATCCTTAACTGCTCTGACAAACCCCTTTCCTAGAGAAACCATGCTTATATATCTGACCTCAATCAACTTTTCTTTGAATTAATTCAGAAGCTTATAATGAAAAAAAAACCTTACTCATCCTTCTGCTAATGTTTCAACTAGCATTCTTCTGCCAAGCTAATGGCTTTTTAAAACTATATCATACCAACAAACTTTGAATAACAGTCCAGGAGGTCTCCAGTTGTCTGCTCTCTGACTCTGATTATGATTCTGAAAAGCCTGAATAATTAACAATTAAACCCTTTTACACAAGCAGACCTAGCCCATATCACTAGTTTAAAAACTAAACTCTAAGAAAAAATATTTACAACTATTTTTGTAGATGTATTTTACAACTCACATAGTTTCATTACAACATCATGTTTCACCACCATTTCTAGATCATTTTTCCAGCAGTTTGGTTCAGGCTGTTACTCAGTTAACTGAAGGAGAAAGCAACCAAACAGTGTTGAATGGAAGGGTAAAACAAACAAAGAGTGTTCTTACCATCTTCATCTGTCTGAAAGTTAAGTTCTTCACTCTCTCTCCTTCCTTCAGAATTGTGTACCATGATCTTGACATAGACATTAGTATAAGGTTGGAGATTTCTAATGATGAATGAAGAGGTATTTTGTGTAACAATCTGGCATTCTTTGAACGTCTGAATGTAGCCAACTCTGAAGGTGTAGTGGTAACACACAGTGTAAAAATAAGTGTGGCAGAGAGTGCTGTTATATCCCAATGGGTCCCATCGTACAGTGACTTGCCTTGACTTGATCCCAGAGAAGGTGATGTCTTTGGGTGCCCGCATTGGTTCTATGATTAAAAATAATCAGCTCCAGATCAATGCCCTCAAATTGTTTAATTACATTGAAATATTAGTCATCAAGAATTTTGTTTCATTTTCATTGACCATAGCAAATTATGAAGTAAAACTGAGTTGGATCATGCTGCCTAGAGATGACAGAATCAGTTACACATATCGAAAGCTTCATATCAATGGTTTTATAAATTACTCATAATATTGAGGTGTTTTATTACTTTGTAAAATCTTAATCACAGCCTCACACTCTCAATTTTTCATATTCATTATGTGTAGTTGTACAAAGAAATAAATACCTTGCACTTATATACCACTCTGTCATCCACAACACCTGACAGCCAATGACTTTGATATTCACATCCTCATGACGGGCAGGAGAGGATGTCAGTGTCATTTTATGACACAATTTTCCTGGTGGAGGTATCAAGGCAGACGAGTGATCCCCATAGAGTTGTATGGTCAACGTTCTTGAAGTTGGTATTATACAATGCAACTGGAAACCTGTTTTGAAGTGAATTGTTGCTACATGGGTTTCCATGGGGATTGAAAAATGCAGCATTGCTAAAGAGGCAAGAGCTTCCAGTTCGATTATTGTTTGAGCACTATTTTGTTTGCATTGAGAAACAGGACTGCTTACAATAACACTTCTGGCCCCTCTCAGCTCTGATTCCCCAGCTATTCTTCAAATGTCTGACTGCTACTTCCTAATATTTTTTGTGATTCTCAACAGTGCCCATCCCCAACTCTGGTTTGTTGACCAAAGCTGCCTTTCACATTTCCTAGTTGCCAGGTACCATCCCAAAAGTCTCTAACTTTCATCTCCGCTACTGGCTTCTCCAACAGACCTCTGGTCAGGCTGTCGATTTAGGTGATGCAGAGCTACAAGTTGTTAATGAACTCTTGCCATTATGGTTGCCAGGACTCCCAAAGGCCATATTCTGGTTCCTCAACTGTATTTGCCTCACTAGTATTCTCTTTGTCAACAATAGAGACCTACTTCTGGAGAGTGGGCAATTGAAAATCAACAGGGAGAGTCAGTATTTGAAGGGTTAATGCGTGTGCAGGCATATGTCTCCAAAATCCCTCACCAACATCTCTGTTGCCATTTTGAGATTAGAAAAAGTAGGCAGTGTCTTCCAAAAGGATATTGCCCAATGGCCTTTAATTATTATGTAAAAGCAGTGATTTATGTAAACTTATTCAACAAATTCTATAGAGCCCTGAACTGTTGTTGCACTATCTTTTAGTATTCATGAACAAGTACATAAAAGAGATGTACTAACTGTCAGTTCTAAAATTATATAAACTGAAGATTTTTAGGGTTTCTAGCCCATACATTCACAAGGTACACAGCGCTTCTTTCGCCCACTCTTTGCACTCCCTTATTCTGCGATAACGCAGGGCAGAAACAAATAAATTGAGAATTACAAGTTCAAAACTTAAACAAATTGCTGGTAACAAAGAAGAATACAACTACTGGATTGACACCTGAGAAACAAGTCACACTGTTGAAAGGTTTTGGCTTGCACTCATGACAACAGACACGGGAATGCAAATTTCAAATGATCATAGCAACTTAAACTGTTTGAGAACCATTACTGATAGATTAACAAGTCGTCCCTGTTTGGTTGATGCATTGCCATGGAGAATGCACTGGGGAACTACTGCTCCCCAGACTTGAGTTTAGTTCCAAAAAGCTGCAATACCTGGAAATGTTCCTTTTGCCTACAGAGGCCAGGTCCATACATATGAATGTATGTATACATATAGCAGATGAATTTCAGTGCTGGTGTGGCTCCAGGCGTGTGGGTGACATAAAACAACATGTCCCTTTGGCTGTTTGCAACAAGCAGAAGATTGACAAAATTAATTTAGTCTATGCTTATAAACTTCAGAACATAATGCCTAATTGACATTAGCCATTGGACATCATTTACTGAACAATCTCATCTTTTAAGAATTACGCGAATAACGAATCATGTGAAATATGACGCACTTAGATTTACTGTAAGTTACATACATTCACACAAAGAAACCTGTCCTCTGTAAGGAAAAGGAATATGTCCAAGCATTTAAGCACGTTTTGTATTAAACATAGTACAGCCAAAATATTTTGTAGGTGCTTTCTCTATGGTAACATGTCAATCAATCAGACTTGACATGCCAACAAATCGTCATCCTTTTCTGAAGTAGGATAGATCATTACTCCCTTTGAAATTTGACATTCTTGTTTCTATTCCAAGGTGTGCAAAATGCAAAGTTTCTCAGGAATGTAGGAAATAAGATGATTACACCATTCAGCTCATCATGCCTGTTCTGCCATTGGACTGGATCACAGCTAACCTTCTACTTAGACACCATTTTCCCACATTATCACAATGGTGCAGAGGGCAAAAGCTCCAAATTTGCAGATGATACTAAGCTGGGAAGAATATTGAATAGTTAGGATGATGCTGAGCAACTTCAGGGAGACATTGACAAGTTGGCTGCTTAAGTTTGCTAGCTGTAAGAAGACAGAGGGTGGTGGTTGATGGGAAATGTTCATCCTGGAGTTCAGTTACTAGTGGTGTACCTCAAGGATCTGTTTTGGGGCCACTGCTGTTTGTCATTTTTATAAATGACCTGGATGAGGGCGTAGAAGGATGGGTTAGTAAATTTGCGGATGACACCAAAGTCGGTGGAGTTGTGGATAGTGCGGAAGGATGTTGCAGGTTACAGAGGGACATAGATAAGCTGCAGAGCTGGGCTGAGAGGTGGCAAATGGAGTTTAATGCGGAAAAGTGTGAGGTGATTCACTTTGGAAGGAGTAACAGGAATACAGTGTACTGGGCTAATGGTAAGATTCTTGGTAGTGTGAATGAGCAGAAAGATCTCGGTGTCCATGTGCATAGATCACTGAAAGTTGCCACCCAGGTTGATAGTGTTGTTAAGAAGGCGTACAGTATGTTAGGTTTTATTGGTAGAGGGATTGAGTTTCGGAGCCATGAGGTCATGTTGCAGCTGTACAAAACTCTGGTGCGGCCGCACTTGGAGTATTGCGTACAGTTCTGGTCACCGCATTATAGGAAGGATGTGGAAGCATTGGAAAGGGTGCAGAGGAGATTTACCAGGATGTTGCCTGGTATGGAGGGAAGGTCTTATGAGGAAAGGCTGAGGGTCTTGAGGCTGTTTTCGTTAGAGAGAAGAAGGTTAAGAGGTGACTTGATAGAGACATACAAGATGATCAGAGGATTAGATAGGGTGGACAGTGGGAGCCTTTTTCCTCGGATGGTGATGGCTAGCACGAGGGGACATAGCTTTAAATTGAGGGGTGATAGATATAGGACAGATGTCAGAGGTAGGTTCTTTACTCAGAGAGTAGTAAGGGCGTGGAATGCCCTGCCTGCAAAAATAGTAGACTCGCCCACTTTAAGGGCATTTAAATGGTCATTGGATAAACATATGGATGATAATGGAATAGTTTAGGTTAGATGGGCTTCAGATTGGTTTCACAGGTCGGCGCAACATCGAGGGCCGAAGGGCCTGTACTGCGCTGTAATGTTCTATGTTCTATGTTCTAGAAATGTGAGGTATTTTGGTAGAAGAAACATGGAGAGACAATACATGCTTAATGGTACAACTTTGAGGGGAGTACAGGAGCAGAGGGACCTTGGTATTCATGTGCATAATTCTCTGAATGTGGCCAGAATGTGGCAAACATTTGTTAAGAAGGCTAATAGGATCCTTGGGTTTATAAATAGAAGCTTAGAATATTGAAGCAAGGAAGTGATGCTAAACCTCTACAAATCACTGGTCAGAACACATCTGGAGTATCAAAAACAGAAACAGAAATTGTTGGAAAATTTCAACAGGTCTTCCAGCAACAAAAACAGAAGTTGCTGGAAAAGGTCAGCAGGTCTGGCAGCATCTGTAAAGAAAAAATCAGAGTTAACGTTTTGGGTCCGGTCAGCCTTCCTCAGAACTGGCTAAGGAAGGGTCACCATAGACAAAATGTTAACTCTGATTTTTTTCTTCACAGATGCTGCCAGACCTGCTGAGTTTTTCCAGCAACTTGTCTTTGTTCCTGATTTACAGCATCCAGAGTTCTTTTGGTTTTTATTAGGTCTCCAGCAAATACAGCTTTCTAGCAACTTCTGTAATCTTTCCTTGTATCTAAAATCCCCTATTCCTGGATTAATTTTATTAAATCTCTTTTGAACGCTCTCCAGGGCTTTAACACTCTTCCTTAAATAAGGTGCTCAGAACTGAACACAATAATGTAAATGTGCACTAAACAAAAAAACCGAAGGAACCACAGATGCTGGAAGTCAGAAATAAAAACAGAAACTGCTGGAAAGTTGGAATTGTTGGTAGACTTGCTGCATTTTTCCAGAAATTTCTGGTATTGCTTCTGATTTCCAGCAACCGCAGTTCTTTTGGTGTTTTGTTTACTGCACATTTAGATTATTGTGTTTAGTTCTGGGCACCATATTTAAGGAAGGATGTTAAGTCCTGGAGAGAGTTCAAAGGAGTTTTAGTGGAATGAAACCAGCAATGAGAGATTTTAGAAACAAGGAAAGATTAGAGAAGTTTGGCTTATCCTCCTTGGAGCAGAGAAGATTAAGAGATGGCCTTATTGAGGTGTTCACAATTATAAACAATTTTGACAGAGTAAAGGATATTCTGTTTTCACTGTTTGGTATGCAAGTAACTCAGGGTCACAATTTCAAGGTTTTCAGCAAGAGAGTAAGATGAAGAGAAACTTCTTTACTAGGAGCGTTGTTAGGATTTGAAAAGCACTGCCTTGGAGAATGGTGGAGATGGATACCGTAGGAGGTTTCAAAGAGAGCTGGATGTATATTTGGAAGTGATGAATTTAGATAGTGGGCTGGAGAATGGAACTAGCTGGGTAGCTGTTTCGGGAGCCAGTACAGACACAATGACCTGAGTGTCTCCTTCTCTCCTGTAAAATTCTATAATTCTAATTTACTGGAGGAGGCTCCACAAATATCCC